CTGGTCTCCACCCCCACTTTTGAAGATTCCGCTATTGCTGCCCCAGTCAGCCCGTCTGCAGGAGAACACTTAGGAGGAAATCGACTTTAAAAAGAAAAGCAGGTCGTTCTTAGCTCCTGACACTTCACAGGAGAGGGAACATGGGCTGAAGCTGGCACCCAAGTCATGCGTGCTGTTTGAGCGGAATATGTGCTGTGTTTTTCTGTCTTTGCCTTGGTTACCCAACAATTAAGGCATCTCCTGGCCTTCTCCCCCTTACCCCTAGTCCTCCTCCCTTCAAATCTCCTGACTCCTCAGTGTGAAGTTTTCCCTAATATGATTTCTGAGAAGTACTTTGGAAAAAGTGCTACAGAGCTCTGCCAGTTCCTTAGTCATGAAAACCCAACCGTAAAGACTGTCTAAGGACACCTGTTCGGAGCATGTTACCCACATTCCTCCAACACCACTGTGACCCCGCTGGGACTAAAAGCTGAGAAGCAGGAGGAGGGGGTCCTTCCTGACATAAGCCCTATCAAGATGACCGTCTAGACTCAGGCTTTGTAATGTTGTATATTGTGCAGTTCCTATTCCATTGCTTTCCCACTAGTCCAGCCTTCTGAGGCCTTCTGAGGCCCTGTGTTCATTATTTATTAGTTGATTCAATAAAGATTAACTGAGCTCCTACTATGAGACAGACACTGTGTTAGGTGCTAATGGATATAATCCAGAAAAAAGAAAACAGTTATGGGCTCTACCCTCAGAGAGCTTGCAAACAAATACATACAAAGCAATATTTGGGGCTCTATTGTTCAGCAAAAAGTCTCAGAATTTTGTATTAGAAGAAAAACTGTTTAGCTAGAAGCAAAGGAAAAATAAATGGGGAGAATTTGCCAGATTTAACTTTAACTCATAAGAATGACTTGAACATTTTCATCTCCAGGAAAATGAAACATCATTAACTAACTCTTCACTACAGACAACAGGCAAAGGTCTTACCCATCTGGTACACATGAGTCTCTCAGGAAGAAAAACATAGTTCTACCAGGATTGGATTATATAAAGGGAGAACTTGACTTTATGGAAATAAACAGTTCTTATGGCTAAAACGCTCTATGAACTTAAAAAAAAAAATCTTGACTTTCGCAAATCCTGAGCCCTTGCCTTGGGAAAACACAGAACTAAAATAAAAATAAATGAGGTCTGTTTGAAACTCATGAGCTGCACATCTCCTATTGCTAAAAGCTGGTTACAAAGCAATCTGGTTGGGGTTTCTGTGCAAACTCAGCGAGTCAGAACTAACTTGGGCCCACACTCCCAGGAACTGTTAAGAGCTGGGTGCATCCCAGAGATGTTGTGTGCTTATTGGGAGGAAAGGGTGGAGAGAGAAGCCACGAAGGAACTTTCTGGAGAAGGCTGTAAATGACTTTCCTTCTTAGCTAGGAGAAAAGGGGTGGGGGCAGGAGGGGGTGAAGGGAGGTGTGGGGAGAAGAGAGGGGTTTTTTGAGCAGCTTTGGCAAACTTGCTCACAGTTGAATCTGATGTTGAAATAAAGTTATTGCCTGTATTTCTAGGCATGGAAGAAGAGAAAGAGAAGCCTAAATTGGAATGAGACCTAAATCGAAATGCAAAAGCTGGATTGAGCTACCACAGAAGATGTGTTACCCCTGGGCATTGGCAGTGCACGAGAGGAAGCTTTCAAGAAAGCAGTAGAATCTGTTTCCACCTCCCTCCTCAGAGGGGGACACCTTTTATACAGAAATATATGTAAGAATAGAATACAGTTGTTTCCAAAATAACTTCCCCTCATTGTGTTTTAAAGAATTCTTTCCAAATTCATCATTGATAATAACATCATTTTGCCCCTTCTTAAAACTAAATCAGTCATTGAATTTTAATCTTTGCAATTGTAATTCCATTTAATCAAGGAGGAATAAAATTCTACTGTGCTTCTTGTTGAGAAATACATGAAAACCAAAAAGGAAGACGTAGAGCACAGCGTTTGTGTCTTTAGTCCTACACCTGGCTGGAGTAATGAACCTGGGCCACAGTGTTTAAGTCCAGAGAGAACGTGATGGATGTTCCCTAGTGCGATAACGTCATACAGTTGCCCCAAACAGACAATGTTAGTAATAATCACGTCAATTTTGTTAAAAACCTCAGTGTGTATGTATCCCATGGTTTAATCTTGTGAAACTTTTCCTAGATGCAAACTACAATTTTAATAAAGACCAAACAACTCCTAATCTGATGTCTGTCTGGTGCATCTCAAAACCCTAACAACAATGGTGTCTCCTTATTTTGTTTACACCACCTGTTGAAAGTGGAACCAGATACTTATAATTTTCTGGTTTTAAAATGTATATCTTTTTGATAAGTCCAAACAGAATACTTTTTTTATAAAAAGCTAATTTACAAAGCCTTTAATCGTAATTTTCTTTAAATAGTACTAATGCAGAATATGCTGTAAAAAAACATGTAAAAAATAAATCATAGAGAAATGTAAGGAAGGAGCTAATAAAAATAAGAGCAGAAATGAAGGCAGCAGGAAAATAATAAATTCATAATTAAGTAATAAATATATTATCTCATCTATAGAAATAGCATTAAAATATACAAACTTCTAATAAGTAAGAAGGGAAAAAACAAATATTTGGCATATAAGTACAAATGTGAAGCTAATTTTTAATTAAAAAACATTTTTTATAGCTCTAGGACAACAAATTCTTAGAACCCAATGAAATATGCTATTTTCAAGGAAAAATTGATTCAATAAGAATAAGAAAGCTGTAATAGACTGGTATTCATGAAAGACATTGTTTTAACATTCAAATCACTACCTTTAAAAAAGGAGTTTTAGCCAGAGAGTTTTATGAGCTAGTTCTTGAAAATTTTCAAATAAAAATTCTCATGTATTTAAATTGTTCCAAGATTACAAAATAAGGAAGCACTTTTCAAATTATTTTTCAGAGTTAATATAACATTCAAAACAAAGCCAACATAGCAAAAAAATTCACTTGCTAAAATATTAGCAATGTAAATTAAAATTATGTACATAATTTTTCAAAACTAGATAAGGTTTATCCCAAAAATTCAAGGATGGCTTAATACTGGGATTTTTATTAAAAACATTATCTCAGTACAATAGCCTCCCCTTATGTGCAGGGGATATATTCCAAAACCCCCAGGAGATGCCTAAAACCATGCATAGTACTGAACCCTACATATACTGTTTTTTCCTATACATATATATATATATACGTACAGTAACTTTTAATATGTAAATGAGGCACACTAAGAGATTAGCAACAATAAAAATACAATGTAATAATTATCATAATATCCTGTACTAAAGTCATGTGAATGTGGTCTCTCTCTCTCTCTCCAAACATCTTACTGTCCTGTACCCATTCCTCCCAAGATGACATAAGATGATAAAATACCTACCTGATGAGAGGAAGTGAGGTGAATGACGTAGGCACTGTGACATACTGTTAGGTCACTATTCACCTTCTGACAACACAGCAGAAGAGGATCATCTGCTTCTAGACCTTGGTTGACCTTGGGCAACTGCAGAAAGTGAAACCTTGGTAAGAAGCCATGACAAAAGAACACGTCATGATTCTTTCCATAGTTGCACTCAGGCTTCTGAGAAATTTTAACATCTCTTTCTGATAATACCATTAGTAATATAACAATGCCCCATATCTTGAAAAGGAATAGTCATCTCAAACATCAAAGGCACTTCCCTTTCAAGGTCAGAAATAAGATAAAGATGTCCACAACAGTGTTATTATTTTTCTGAGGTGTTTAGGAACATTAAATCTAACATCAAAGAAGGTATATTTTCATCTGTAATGAAAAAGGTTTATGTAACTATAAACCTGAAACTATTAAAGGAAAAGAAAATTAAATGCAAGAAAAAGAAGGTAAGGAGCAAAGCTACCATTTAAAAGGAAATCGTTTCACCAGATGACCCTCAGAAGAAAAAAATCTCAAGGCATAGAATATTGTTAAAGATTTTCTGGGACAATTCCCCTGGGACCCTACGAGTACCCTTCCCCTTCAGCAAATAATGATTTCCTACTTTAGCCACCAAACTGATACCCAAAGAAGTTGACACTTGGGCTGTAGATATAAAGTTGATTCAATTCACTTACATTGCAGCAGTTTGGATTCATGCAATGCTGCTATATTTGAAATATAATTATGTGATCAGATCTGGGGCTTTCTCCTGCTGCATCATTTTTGCTTTGGGAGCCCTGGCCACACTTCCTGCAGAATGCCCAGGCCTGTCTCTCCAGATGCGTGGAATGGACAGGCCCACCCTGCCCTGGTGAGGCTGATGCACCCATTAACCCATCACAGAAACTCTACTTGCCTTGAAGCAGAATCTACTGGGATGACTCTACCTACTGCAGTGTGGTGAGAAAAAATTACCAGCAATTTCTCCCTTTGGTTTAGAAACTTCCGCTTCTCCACAGAACTTTCACCTATTAAATAAAAGGCTGGCAACATAAATCTAATACTGTAATAAAATCATATTTTTCATAACAAAGCAATGCATGTTTTTCTCCTTAGAGACCTTTTTAAAAGACAAATAAAATGGAAAGATATACTAAATTCTGAAAAAGAGGACTCCATTCTTAACGATGTCATTTCTTCTTCCACATAATTTATAATATATTACTCCATTCAAAATGTGCCAACTTATTTTTCTAATTTAACTGAAGAATAAAGAAGTAAAAATAACTAAAAATCTTGAAGAAGACAAGTAATTAAAGCATATTTGTGCTGTTATAAAATTATAAAAATGCAATCATTAAAAATGTGGTACGGCTCAAGAATAGAGAGGGAAGTCAAAAAAATAGAAAACAAACCCAGCAACAGGCCCTAGTACATGTATAAATTTAGTAAATAATAAAGACAGCATTTCAAATCAGTAAGGGCATATATATGATTGAATGCATTGCAACAGGTGAATAGCTATTGGGTAAAAAAGAAAAAGCTGGATTCCTCCCTTAAACACACATACACAACAAACAGACATACAACTTCACATAGATTAAATAATGAAATGTAAAAAAAAAGATAAAAAGAAAATGTCATAAAACATAAACCCTATAATAGAGATACTGAAAAAGTATGTATTTATTATATGTAAATAGATGCATATGTGTATACCTTTATGTACATATATTTATGTATATTATATTAGGAAGTTAAATATTTAATATATTGCACAAGAGGAAGTGGAGTATTATATATATATGTATGTATGTATTAGGAAATTGCGACTACAGGTCTGGTAGCTGATACGCTATGAAATCACTGAGAGAAAGCCATCTAAGATGTGATCAAGATGATGATAGCAACACTTCCTTAAATAAGAAACCTGGAAGAGAAATAAGCAGGGCTGGGGTTTGATGATGAACCTGACTTTAGATTTTTCTGTGTAGATCAAGGGCTATTTCAGTGAAATTGCAGGGACAGAATCTAGAATCCAGAGAATTGAGGCATTACCGGCATTAGTACGGTAATGTAATAGTGATAGCAATTACTGAATACTGCTTCAAAACAGAACTTACACCTACAGAACACAGGCTCTGAGGGACATACAAATCAAATATGAGTATCTTGGTTTGTGACTATTCTGAGTTAGACTTAGAAGGGAACACCTATCCCACCGTCACAGGAATGAAGGAGAAAGAGACACATGCCCTTGGAGGTAATTTACAGGAGAAAAGACCAAGTTCATGGACTTCTTTTTGATGGCTTTGATGATGGTAAATTTTTTCTCTCAAAGAATTGCCTGGAGAGAGTGAAGGAACAGAGGGTAGGGTGGAGTTTGTCATAAACCCTGAGAAGAGGGCCATAGACTGAAAACATAGACACCCTCCTAGCCTACACTGAAGGCCTGGAAGAGGGTTGGTGATCATGAATTTACCATGCTGATAGCAAGGACCATTTTGACGTTTCCTCCATGACCTCAACAGCCAGGCAGAGTAAAGAAGTTGAAAGGTTAGTTTAGAAGAGTAGGTATCACAAGCAGGTGAGAGTCAAGGGTACTGGCAAGAGTGGTTGGAAGGATGACACATGGGTCTAAAAGAAACAGAGGAAGAAAGAAATACAGAGGACCAACACTGGGACACAATAAAACTGTTCAGAGATTGGTAGGCTCAATAAAGTGGGAAAACAGATGTATCAAGGAAATGAGGGCAATAGATAGGAAGTCAGGATCAGAAATGAACTATTGGAGGTCAGCATTTTAGAAGTCCCTGAGATCTTACTATTTCTTGCTTTTTTAGTTAATATGATGTGGTGTAACAGCCCCCAAGGACATCTGTATCTGAATTACTAGAACCGTTGAATGGGTTACCTTTTGTGGCAAAGGGGTTTAAGATGTGATTAATTCAAGGATTTTGAGATGCAGGGGTTGCCCTGGATTATCCAGTGTACCCAGTGTAATTTTATAAGGGCCCTTTTAAGACGGAGGCAAGAAGTCACGGTGAGAGGGAGAAATGGGACCATGGTACAGAAGTTGGAATGATGGAAGGAAGGGGCCATGAGCCAAGGATTGGAGGTGGCCTCTAGAAGCTTGAAAAGGCAAGGACATCATCTACTACAGCCTCAGAAGGAAGCCTACCCACTGATCCCTTGATTTGAGGACTTCTGACCTCCAGAATTGTTAGGCAATAAATTTGAGATTTAAGCAACCAAGTTTGTGGTCATTTTTGTTCACAACAGCAATAGGAAACTAATACATATCATCATTTTTAACATTTTTACATATTTATGTGGGCTATTCTTATAGTATGCTAAAACACACACATACAGAGTAATTAGCTACATGGTAATATCTAAAACTCATATTTGTGACTTTCTAATAATTGCATGACCAACCCTGTGGTCCTTCACTAAGCCAAACCAATTATCCAGTGCTGATAAACAGGTCAAAGTCATTCACACTCACCTGAGTCATTGAAATGGAAGTGCTAAGGATCATTGAAGAAGTCCCCACAAAAACATTCAAAGACTTTGGGACACTTCCATACCTACTCATCAATTAATCAAGGAAAATGTTTGAGACAGATGGCCCTAATTTCAAGTACAATTCAAAAAATTTTGGAGTACTAACAAATGCCTATACTTGTTACAGAGAGATTTTCCCAGAAAGAAAGGTAGGCATCTTATGTCCAAGCTGCATTGAAAACAAAACAATTTCAAGCCTCCATCAAATCCATCC